ACCACAAAACTTTAGATGTGACTGCGATACCACATCAAATGTTTTTAATGACTGTGTTTCACTGCGCATTTAAGCCTAGAACAGACCCATTTCTTTCCCTAACCTTTTTACCAATAGAGGCAATGGTGTGGCGATCATCACTGTAGCTAAGTCCTTGGCCATAACGAAAGGTATGCAGAGCTAGAAACCAGGTGGTTTGCATTGCCAGAAAGCTCTTGCAAAAATGATAGGGCCCATTTAGATCAATCCTAGCAAATACACACACACATACACACACACACACACACACACCAATTTTTGTATTTGAAATGGGATCACCTAAATCTGGGTAGCATTATATAAAATTCAGTTTATATAAAATTACATATTATATAAAATCCCATTACCTTTCTGCTCTATCCGCATTTAGGGAGAGAATTTCACTTTCTGTATTAAATACATAACGGTGGTGGCTGTGACGGTGGTGGCGACGGTGGTGGTAGGGGCATTTGTTGTTTGGGAATTTAATACATTTGAGGATACTGAAGCTTTTAAATAAAGAGTAGTTTTCCTATTTTCACTCAACCACAGATGGACAGAGTCAATTTCATTCCCAAGTCTTCCAAATGTAATCGTCAATGAATTGGGAATAGGCCTGGGAGGATTTTGTCATCTTTTAACCATTGTGTCCAAGAAAAAGGAAGATTTACTTACTTAGAGTACTTGGTTTTCTGTTTGTCAATAGTGGAGCCTCTTATTTCCCTAAGTGGAAATAAAGTTTTCACTGGTGGTACACTTTGAGGCATTGGACTACTAACCACAAGGTTGGCCATTCAAACCCACCAGCCACTCTGAGGGAGAAAAACAAGGCTATCAGCTTCCATATAGATTTACAGTCTCAGAAACCTGGTAGATGGAGGCCATGAGTTGGAATCCACTTGGTGGCAGTAATTTGGGTATTGCTCTTTTAATATTCTGGATTATAAATTCGCAGTCCCATGAAAATCCCATAGGGATGTAGCACGACCATACCAAATCCATCAAAATAACAGGATTCTCCAGGACCTCCCCTAAGAAAAGGAACCTTCCATTCCTTTACAAGAACCTAGAAAAATTCCAGAGAGGAGTTATTTTTAGCGCATGCCGTACTGACAGTAGCAAGGGACTACGGACTGCTGGCTGAGTGACCCCGGCCAAGACCTTGGAAAAGAGAGTGGTGCAAACTGAAGAGCTTGGAAAGTCAAAGAACACTTCATTAAAATTTCTTCCATCTTAACCTCCTTTCCAACGGAAACGGCTGCCCCGTATCAAGAAAGTGTATGCTGACAACCTCAATTCTTTACAAGATTTCGGAGGTGAGGTTCTTTTTCAGACCTTTGTTTCCCCCCAGGATGTTAAAAACGAAACAAAACACCCAGAACACCAGCCGTTGTGTCCCATTCCAACTCATCACAACCTGAGAGGGCAGAGTAAAACCGCCCCTTGGGGTTTCCAACGGTGCAGGTATTTCTAGGAGCAGAGGGACTCACCATTCTCGTGCGGAGTAGCTGGTGGGTTTGAACTGCTGACCTCATAGCCTACCACATAACCCACTTATACACCCACCAGGGTTCTTTCTAGGATGGTCAAGGAATCCAGTAGTGGTTGTCAGTCTCAAATAGAACAAAAGAGATAAAACAGAAAACCTCTGCACACAAAAAATCATGGGTGGGGGGTGAGGCGGGGAGAATGCATAGGGACATGCATTATTCATTGCAGTGCCATTGGCACTAGCTCAAATGTGGAGGGAAGAATGGATACACTGGGGTCTATTTGTACAATGAAGTGTCATTCAGCGTATAGAGAGATGATTGACGTTCTGATGAATGCTACAACACAAGCAGACCTTGAAAGAAATAGGCTGAAGTTAATAAAAGCAGACCCCAAAAGGATACATATCATATGATCTCACTTATGTGAAATATCTTAAATAGGCTGGTGCATAGAGACATCAGCTTGCTAGCAATTACCAGGGACTGGCAGGAGGCAGGGAGCCTTATTGCTTAGGGGGGCATTAAGGGTGTGTGGGGCATTTTGGAGAAGAATGGTGACAAGTATGGCAGTTATATAATCGTTTGTCAATTTGAGAGGATTAAGAGTGAAGGAGTGGAGTCTAGCCTGTCAATCAGGTCATAGTCAATGAGGCCTCTGTGTGGGCATGGCCTTCTCCTGAGGATTCTGGGTACTCCAGTATTCCTCCTTGGAGGCAGGAGACACACACTCTCTCTCTGATCACTCCTTGGGAGACATTGCAGCTGACAAGACACATGGAACTACACTAGTGCCCTGAGATGGAGAAGCCACGTGAACCCTGCCCGTGGTGAGATGCCTCTACTGCCACTGGATCCGCAAGACTTTCCACCCACTGGCCTGTGATCTTCCTGCATTCGGTGTCACTGCATGTGTTTCGTGAGTCTGAAGAGGACTTATAGATTGGTATTGGACATATGGGCTAATATCAGGCTTATCGACTTCATCCGGACTGGACTGGATGTTTTCTCAGTATTCAATTGATCTTGTATATAAAGCTCTTTCTTATACACATGAGTGTCTTTGAATTTGTTTCTCTAGTCTACCCAGACTAACACAAGGGTAGCAGAATGTGGCAGATGAAGCTAATGTCACCACACTGTCTATGTCAAATTGGCTGACACGCCAAATGTGATGTTCATTTTGCTGAAATTAAAGTAAAATAAACAACTAAGAGACCCCATGAGCGTTCTCCTGATGTGTGGTAGCAAAGAAGGAAACGGTGGGATTTTCTATCGGGACGTTCTCGGGGGGCAGCTCTGGGAGCTTTTGGCCCCTTTGACATGTTTCCAGTGACATCAGGGGTTTCAGTTCCACTTTTTCACTAAAGAGGCCCACACTGACCTTGAAACTCAACTTCCCACCCAATGTCTCTAAAGGTACTACATACACTTCGAGGGTGTCAGCATGTTAAACAATTCTGAGGACTATTCAGAACAATCCTGTTAGACTTTTCTATTTGCTTTCAAGGGCTCGTTTTCTACACCCTTAACTGCCCACTCCCACCACCCCCCCACTTACATATCACTGTTGACTATAGCCCATATGTTTAGTAATGATGTAAATGAAGCTCAAATTCCTGTTATCAAGTGCATTTCAAAGGACCAATTCTTGGCCACCTGCATATCTCTCTCTCTCTCTCCTCCCCTCACTTCAAGGGGCACCGGATCCAAGAAAAGGACAGCAGTGGTGGAGGCTTCCTTGAACAACAACATAAGCAGTGAGATGCTCCTTCATTTCCTATAGACGCTCTAACCCACCGTTTCCAAAAGTGTGTTTCGTGCTAATGAAACACAGGTCCGTGGCGGTGGCGACATTTGAAAACCCCCTGTAGACACTTACAGGATTGAAACTGCCATTTACATTCCATGCTAAGTTTGCCTTAAGACCAGCTCCTTACTGAAAATACAGGGAATCCAGGACGGATGAGCCCTATAGGACCAGTTGTGTGAGTGGCAAAACAGGGAGGGTAGAGGGAGAATGGGTAGGAAAGAGGGAACCAATTACATGGAACTGTGTGTGACCTCCTCCCTGGGGGACAGACAACCGAAAAGTGGATGAAGGGAGAAGTCGGACAGGGCAAGATAGGACAAAATACCCATTTATAAACTATCAAGGGCTCATGCGGGAGGGGGGAGCGGGGAGGGAGGGGAAAAATGAGGACCTAATGTCGGGGGGTTTAAATGGAGAGAAAATGTTTTGAGAAACGATGTACAAATGCGCTTTACACAATTGATGTGTGTATGGATTGGGATAACAGTTGTATGAGCCCCTAAAAAAATGTTAAAAAAAAAAAAAAAAAGACCAGCTCCTTGCTCGCATGACCCTCCTGAGCAGCCCCTTTGAGAAGCTGTGAAGACGAGTCCCTGTTTTGCAAGCCTTGGAAACGCTCAGAAATGCCTTCCGATTGGATCGTAGAACCTATCCCTGGCTTAATTTTCATCAGCACAGATGCTTCGTGTCGGGCAGTTTTATTTGCATTTAATGCAGTCCCGTGTTTTGTCATTTCCAAAACATGGAACGCACAGGCAAGGCTCAATATTCTCCCGATGAAAAAGTGCTCGTCTGCCCCAGCGAGCCAGACCCGAGACGGCCGGGGGATGTATGTAGCTGATGCATTCAATGCGATTTTCTGGCGAGCGTTCGGTCCATGCCTGGGTACAGTTAGTTCCCAAACATGTCGGCAGCACACCGAGGTTACATATGTGATTCTTTTAAGTGGGTTCTTAATGTCTCCAAAACCTGATAAAACACCATCAATTCTCTGCAGCCACTTTGTAAAAAGTACGTGGTGTACTGAGCACAAGCTCAGAGATGCAAAGCGGTTTTATGTGAAGTAATACTATCCTTACCTCAGCAGCAATTCGTTCTTTCAATTAAAAAAAGAGAGCGAGCGAGTTGGTGACTCCCTGCAAGGGACATTAAACATGACTGTTTATGCTCTGCACATCTCAAAGTAAAAAATACTCACTCACTGCTTATGTTTTTGTGATTTGCCTGATCTGATAGCGCGACAGATGTTTGGTCGTCTTTCGGCGCGACGTGGGCTGACCTGGGAATGATCCCGCTAACTCCAGCTGCTTAATTCTAAATGCCATTTAATAGCAGTTTGTGAAATCAACACATCTTCTCAGCGCTCTCCTGTGGGTTGCAAGCGATCAAACAGACACAGCCATCGAGACAGGGGGGTTAGATCGGTTTAACAGAGGGGGGGATTCAGGAGGCATTCCTGAATGACTGTAATCCGGTGCACCGGGAAGGCCGCGTCCTTTATTAAAAATCATTACCAACCGAGGAACAAAGAAGCGTGCACCCCTGAAACAAGGACGTGCGGGAGGCAGGCATTTTCGAATTCCTGGGAAATGACTTCAAATGTCTTAGTGTCTATTTCATGGCAGAGCCTTACCACCCCCACCCTCCCCTGATACCCCTCCACCCCCAATGAAATAGACTCCGAAATGCAGTCCATGGAGGAGAAACAGCTATTGCATTTGCCACTCGTGGGCCTGCACTTAGACACTGGTCAGTACTGGGAGGGTTTTCCCAGCACAGGCTCGTGGGTCAGGGGAGGGATGTGTTCCGTGTCGAGTGAAATGTGTTCGGTTGCTTGTCCCGTCTGCTCAGATTCCAAAGGCATCCTTCTCAAACGTATCTTGCCTTCTCAGTAGCCAGCGCCAGCCTGCGGATGTTGGAGATGCAGCCGGCCGCGGCTTCCTGGAGGTCCTGGTCGGGAGACCCAACCATGTCCAGGAGCAGCTGTAAGGAACGGAGGGAGGAGAGGGCGGCAGCAATCAACCAATGAGCCCAAAGCCAACGTTAAGCTAAGGAAATGATTTTACACAACTAAATATCGTTTTGTTTTGTTTTTTAGCATCGCAAAAATGTTCAAGAGAGTCCACATTTAGGAGAATATCAGTACCAACCCGCAGGTTCTCCAATCCACTGCCAGGGAATCGGTCTGGGCTCCCAGCCACCGCAGACAGGGATGCTTTTGTTCATGAGTTTCTCATCTTGTCATTCTGTGGAACTGATCGAGACCCGTCATTTCTCTCTCCTCTCTTGGGTCACAGGGAGCCCTGGTTGGAGTAGTGGCTATGAGTTGGGCGGCTAAACACAAGGGTCAACAGTTCCAAACCACCAGCCACTCCACGGGAGAAAGCTGAGCCTTTCAACTCCTTGTAAAGAGTTCCAGGCTCGGAAACCCAGGGGGCAGTTCCACCCGGCTCGTGGAGTCACTTTGAGCCGATGAGTGCGGGTTTTGCTTGAGTGCTTTGCTCAGCTAACTACTGTGCATTCTGCCTCTGGAAGGTTTCTCGAATCCTTGCTGGCTTTTCCACCACACTGTGCCTTGACTGATAGCATAAGAGCCCCGGAAGCCTGAGGGTTCAAGTCCTTGGCTACTAATCGAAAGTTCAGTGATTTGAACCCATTGGCCGCTTTGAGGTGGGAACATGTGTCGGCCTCTTCTGCAAAGATTCACAGCCTCGGAAGCCCCAGGGGGCGGGTTTACAGGTTCTCCGAGGATTGGGGGAGTTAGAATCAACCCGACATGATTCAACAACAGACTGCTAACAAATCCTCTTACGTGGAGTCTCTGCATGCTGTCATCTGCTGACATCACAACTTATCATATCAGTCCCTTGGGAAAAACTTTCATTGGGTCCCAGTTTAGAGTAGCCAGAGCCCATGCCAGCTACCCGCCGTTGAAAGGATTCTGCACGGTAGCCTCAGCTCGTCTTTATCCTGCTCCTTTGGAGACACCAAGGCCACGAGTCTCCCCTTTTCTTGCCTTTGTGGATTGTACCCCAATATGGAAAATGCCCTCACCCGCCCCCTGCTTTCACAAAATGGCCCTTCTCCCTCAACAGCTCCCTGACTGCCTCATCGCAGAAGTCTGCCCACTCCAGGGTCTGTCGCTGCGCTTACATTTCCCCTCCTAACAGGTATCTTGGTGAGTACACGCCCTCCTCCTTTAGATGGTAAACGCCGGCACAAACCCAGAATGGACGTCGTGCCTGGTACTGAGATGTCAAATCAGTGCTGGAGAAATTCATGAGCCCTTTTGTCAATTTTGATTCTAATGAGCAGTTCTGATAAAAGATGGGAAAATCATATCTGAACCCCCTAAGACAGTGAAGATTTGAAAACTGAGGTAGAAAGTGTCCATTCATCAAGGACATACTGTGCAATATCTTAAATTTACCACACTTAGGAGTGGGGATTTTATTCTGAACATCGTAGAAAGACAGTAAGGACCCTCACTAAGAGCACAACATGATTTTATTTTTATTTTAGAAAGATGGTGTATGTTAATTTACAGAAGACGGACTGCAAAGAGAGGAGAGGCTGGTACGATGAGACTCAGTAACGAGGAAGGACTAAATAAGGCAGAAACGATTGCATCGGGAGGAACACTGGTGGTGTGGTGGCTTCTGACTGAAGGTCAGCTGTGGGAACCCACCAGCTGCTCTGGGGGAGACGGTGGTGGCACTGTCCTCCTGACAAGAGCACAACCACGGAAGCCCCGGGGTGCTATGAGTTAGACTTCCCCGCACACCATCCTCTCAGGGGTCCTACCAGACTCTGCCTGATAAGTAAGGCTGGTCTTTCTTGGGATTGGACTTTTTGTTCTATATTTTTCTCCCACTCGATTCAGGGCCTTCTGTGACCCAAGCAAAGCAGGTGGTTCTGATAGCAGATCTCTTTCTTCCAGTCAGGGTCATGGAGCCTGGGGCCCACGCTGTCCTTCAGGTCCTTCAGTTACCTTGGACTTCCTCGAGCTGCCATGAGTCTTTGATTGTCCCCATTCTTCCTTGCTCTGCACAGGGAAGGACCAACAGTTGTATTTTTGACGGCTGCTGCCGAGCGTTTAAGACCACAGTCATTACTCCCCACAGTCGGGCGTAGAACATTGTCTTTGTGGATTACGTCACGCCGATTGGCTTGGGTATCTCCCCAGACTGAGGTCCTAAGTCCCCAAGCCCAGTGACTTATTCTCACAAGACATTTGGTTATGGCTAATAACTTTTCATAGCTTTCCCCCGTGTTTGTTCAGCTCTATGCATGGAAATATTTAGAGTACATACACATATGTATCTAGAGATAACATGTGCCAAATCTATGTATGATCATGAGTCTAGTCCCATTTACCCACTCACGTGTTCAGCTTGCGTGTCTGCCTAGGTGTTCATTCACAGGTGATTGTTTGTTATTAGTGATACTGTCTCAAGATGCAATATTGAAGGATTCCAAGGGCAACATCAAAAGAAGATGGAAAGAATATGTACACACAGTCACTGTCCCCCTAAGCACTGGTTGACATTCAGCCACTTCAAGAACCGGTGACACTGAACATGTCCAAGCTGCACTGCAGGCATTAGTCAAAAACAAGGCTGTAGGAATTGATGGATTATCAATCAAAATGTTTCACCAAGCTGCCGAAGCACAGGAAGTACTCACTAGTCGAAGTCAAGAAACTTAGAAAACAGCCACCTGGCCAACTGGAATAGATTCATATTTCTCCCCATTCCAAAGGAAGTGACCCACTGGAATGTGGAAATTACTGAACAACACCATAAGAGCACATGCAAGTACATTTTTGCTAAAGGTAATTTTTAAATGGTTGCAGCAGAACATCAGCAGGAAACTACCAGGAATTTGAGTTTGACTAACGTGTTGAAGAGCAAGGATGTTTCACTGTGAAGACTAAGGCTCATTATGATATTCCAATTACTTCATAAGCGTGTGAAAGGTGGATCTTGAATAAAGAAGTCTGGAGACAAGTCGATGCATAGGAATTGTGGTTTGGGCAAAAACACGTTGAAAGCATCACGGAAGAACAAACAATCCACCTTGAAAGCATTATGGCCCGAATTTTCCTTGGGAATGAGAGTGGCAAGCCTTTGTCTCGCACACTTCACCACCAGGTTATCAGGAGCGACTAGTTCTTGGAAGGGGACACGTGGGTAAAACAGAAGGTCATCCAAGAAGAGAAAGACCACCAGGAGGATGGACATGGCTGCAACCCAACAACCAAGAGCAATTGTGAAGAGCACGCAGGACCCGGCGGCGTCCGGTCTGCTGCGCATGGGGTTGCTAGGAGTCAGAACAGACTCCAGGGCCCCTGTACCACCCGACTGTGTCCGTTACCCCGGCTAAGAATAAGGGACGGGAGCCCGGGGGTTGTGGTTATGAGTTGGGCTGGGTTCTGCATGTCGGCAGTTCGAAACCACCAGTAGCTCTGGTAAACAGTCTGAGAAACCCGCAGGCAGTGACCATGAGTCAGCATGGGCTCCATGGCAGAAGTTTGACTTTCTGGTTGAGGATGAAGGACACTCCGCCGAGGTAAGCTTAAAAAAACAAAAGACAAATGGAGCAAAAGGAAAAAGCTACTGTAGACAAACATTCCTGGGTTGAGGACTAGGTCGTATGGCAGGGGCCAGACCAAATCCAGGGATACATATGGTAGCCAACTAAAAAGAAGGGGGGAAAGGAAACAAAAACAAAAAAAAAGGGTATTTGGGGAACAGGGCACTAACCCACCCAAGGGGAGGGTATTGTTAATATCTCCACAGGGAAAGAAGGACCAGACTTCAACCCAGTGCTCCAAAATGTGAATGCAACATACCGGCATGGAACAGGGAACCAGTGGAGAGGTCTAAGGGGCTGACCCCAATCCCAACTACATGGATACCTGCCCCTCTCCCCAGAAGAATTTATTTCAGAGGACAACACTGAAGCTGCAGCTCAGGGAGAGGGACATGTCTGATCAGAGCACATGGGAGCAAATGAAGGGGGAGGAAGACAGAGTGAAGCACATCCTGGCTACCCGAGCCTTGAGGACGATATTCCCGCTCAGAGCAGCCAATCCACAGAAAAGACCATATGGCAAGCCCCAGTATGAGACCCGACATCCCTTCCTGACCCATAGCCCTACAGGAGACAATGCTGGAGACACAGTGTGGGAATTGCGCCCACTCTGATCCCACCACACCGAGGCAAAACAGTAAGGGCAAGCAACAGAACAGCAAGGGGAACAGATCAAGGAAGTCCCCAGGGAATACCAAATATAGTCTTTGGGGCCAGGGCTGGGCATCCCATCAGACCCAACCGGAAAACACTCCTAAAGCCAACAAACAGTCCTTCAACTAACTACAGGCTTCTCTTTTTTGTTGTTGTTGTTTTTTGTCATTGACTTTTTGTTGTTGTTGTTTTGTTTTCTTTTGTTGCTTTGTCTTGTTTTTGTGCATGTTATTATCTCCACAGGTCTGTCTAAGTAAGATAGGCTGGATGAAAAATCTGGAGGAGAAAACAATGG